AAATGACAGTGATATATGCAAAGTGCTTCAAACGGGAAGTCGGCTGATGATTCCAAAATTAGGTCAAGCCTTTGACGTTTGCGAGAATTTTACCGCGCAATGAAGCTGATGTACTGAAGGCGTAGTTATCTGAGATTAAATTGCAGCAGGCTAACAAATTCGTTTCAATTTCTGTTGAAGAGAGATGAACCACTCCCGTAATGCATGGGAAGATGATTGCGTTTTTGCGCAAATGGAGATTAGAAAATGTCAAGACAGGGTTTGCTTAAAGTGGCGCTTTATTAGCACTTAGTGATATGTGATATAAGTATATTTCGATCATTCACTTCTTCGACAGTTTCTCATACGAGGCGCAAAGTTTAAAAGAATTTCACTTTGTCTATGTGCAGATATGAACTAAACAAAATTTGACCTTGGGCGCGTTCATTGTTTTTCATTACAACTAAGTAAGGCAACTAAACAAAGCTCTTTTAAAGAAGATGAATGCTAAGAGAATGAAATGGCAGCCGTGTTTTTTTTTGTGCGGTAAAACCAATGAAAGAGAGTAGAATACAATCAAGCGCCTTATATAGAAGAATGACGTAGAAGTCTCTAACACGAGGGAGAAACTTAGCGAACTAAGCGCGCTATCATATCAAGGGGGCAAACTCGTTCTCGGCGATTAATAAGTTAAGAGCAAGCCTGATTCCACCAAGAAGATGTCGGGAGGGTCAGGAAATTCGTCAACGGATAAGGATTATGGCAGTAGATGTAATTGTACGATTCTGTAAAAAAGCGCTCAGGAGGTAAGCTTAACCTAAATTCTGAAGTCGCGCTTAGTGTTCGCTCAAAATAATGGCGTAACATTGCTGCGTTTTTAATAGAATTAAGTTTTCTGCCTCGCGGTCTTCTTTTTGTTCTCGTAGTGTTCGGCTTTTCTCGGAGTCGATTATCGATACAATGTGATGCTAAATGAAATCCTTCGACTTACATTCGCACCAAACTGCGTACTCTTTGAGCTCGATTTGAGAATGGCGCTCTCTACTTCGATGATCAGCATTGTTTGTCGTTTGTACAAGATGGCGGATAGCGGTACCAAATCGAGTTTGTGAAAGCATTTGAGCACAGTATTAGATCTATAAGTTCTCACTGATACCGTCCAAAGCCATGATTTCTGTGCGAACGGAGCGACGATCAAGAAAACCGAATCTGCTCAAATAACTATTGAAAATGAAGCAAATTAAAGTGTGAGAGCAAGCGAACACATTTGCGTCATGGGTAGCTAGCAACGAGACGTGGTTAAGTTGAAGACTAAGTTGATTGACTTCGACTCATGCAGAAACACTTCGTGATTTTCTTTTACCCAGAATGTCCCTTATGAATGGACTGAAGGCAGTTGTTTTGTGATTTTGTGTATAACAGCGAAAAAGCTTATAAATAGGCAGACGCAACTTCTTCGCCACGCAGTAAGGTTCCCTTCATTATGACATTGTTCTTGCTTGACACTAGAACCCCCATCGAAATAAAGAATGCCTCCGCAAATGCTAACAGGGCCAAATGTACTCCGTGATAAAGACACGAAGATATACTCTCCAAAAACTTATGATAACAAATAAAGAGATGGACGATTGCAAGGTTTCTTTAGTATATCACATGATAGCCGTCTAAACGGCTAGTTTCTTTTCCATTCTTTTACCTTACTACGCTGCACATGAAAAAAAGTGAAGGTGTGCCTCGAAACTTTTCTGTGACTGACTGTAGCTCATTGGAAAATCATATTCCCTACTCAAATTTAGAAAACCAAGTGCGCGCTACGAGCCAAACCGATATGTCTACTCAGAGAGAAAATCACTTGCTTTCCTTTGCATTCCACTTATAAATAAATAATAATTTAGCAATGGACATCCACTGGGTGGCTCTTCTTGTCCACTGTTTCCAGATCGAATTGGAATTTAGAATGTTGGTGTTTTTTTGGATAGGAGTTCGTTAGTGAGCAAAATCTCTCTACTAGATAAACTAATTGCATAAGAGATTTCCGCCTTAAAAGGCATCGGATATTTAAGCACAAACTACGAAAGCGCAGAAATAAATATTTAAAATGATGTTGTTCTGATCGATCCTTCACTTGCAGAGAGCAAAAGTTGACAAGGCAATCGCCTTGTATCGCTATGAATCATACTTTTAAACTGCCAAGAAGATCAAACGCATTAGCCAATTTTGCCCGCGAAAATGATTATAAACGTAGAAGAAAAACTCGAAATACCAATCAAATAATCAATCAATCAATCAATCGTTTATTCAACCCTATTGCAGTAACAACTGAATTGCAGGGGGCGGTCGCGACATACATTTTGAAATTTGACAATTACAAAATCATTAAATCTTTTGCACTTGCCAGTAGAGGCCTGATACGATTGTGAGCCTGAGCGTAAATTATAACCATGGTAATAAGCCAGCGGAACCCGAAAGAGACTACTAAGTGTTCCTGACACATAACAGGACTTAGCAAAATTCACGTGAGCTTGTTGCCGCCAATCGCTAAGAATTTCAAGGTCAGCAAGACGTAGAGCGTCGCTATAACAACGATCAGGGACGACAATATAAAGAGCTTTCCTCTGGACTTGTTCTAAAAAGTCTACTAGCGCTGTTTGTAGATTAAACCCGAGTGATTCAACAAAGACATGGGAATTTCAATCAATTGTAAACTTCCATAAGGTCGTAGTAGTAGCAAGTATGATAAATATTGTAAGAAATAGACAACTTTTTTGAGAGACATTTTTCGGCGTGCTTATGCCATCTTCAATCAATGAGTAACAGAACGTGAGTAATTATATAACAGACAAGTAGATGAATAAAATATTTACAGTATGATGTAATACAAAGGCGGGTACTAATTACAACGTGACACCAAACATCAAAGGTGTGAACTAAAACGCTAGAAAAGTGTTCTAATGCTGTAATTGTTTGTTAAGTTCAGGTTTGATCTTATTTATATAAAAAGCTTCTTTGAGTTTTAAATCAATAGAGTTGTTAGCAGAATCCAGAATACTAAAGCAAGAAAGGGAGTATTTGCTCTTACAAGAAGGAGATGTATTGAAATGCTTAAAAATATGCGAGTTTTTATCGCTTTCCGTGTGCTCCTTTATCCTAGTAGAGAAGTGGCGACTAGTTTCGCCAATATAACGGGAATTACATCCCGCACAAGAAAATTGATAAACTACCATGGATTTTAGAGAATCAGGAGTACGATCTTTAACACTGAACATGTTTTTAATTTTAACAATTACAGCATTTTAACACTTTTCTAGCGTTTTAGTTCACACCTTTGATGTTTGGTGTCATGTTATATAATTACTCACGTTCTGTTACTCATTGATTGAAGCATAGTTCTCCCTATTAAATATGATTGAAGATGGCATAAGCATGCCGAAACATGTCTCTCAAAAAAAAGTTGTCTGTTTCTTACAATAATTGTAACCTTGATGTGTGTTCCTCTTGAATAGTCAGTGAAGTCCTGTCCTTGGTTTGCATACGGAATTAGGGTTTGATGACTCAAAACAACGTGAAGTTGTCTCGGTAAAAGCTTTGCCTTCTTTCTGTCTTTCAGGAACTTCAAGAGCAAAACGGACTAAGAGAATTGATGAGGAACTTGATGATGCTTCAAGAAACCGAAGAATTATCTCTTTGAACTGTTCTTGTGTTCTTCACGCATACAAGCATTAGATGTTGAAAGCAAAAAACAGCGTTGACAGTAGAGATTTTGTAATTTTGTCAGAGTTCACCACAGTATCTTTAGGAACAGTTGTTTGTATACTCTTCGCACTTAAAATGATGCCACGTAGATTTTGAATAAATGTAACACTTGTTTTCTTCGTGCACATAAGTTTGGCTTGCTGTGTTTTTACTCGATATCCTCGTTTATGTTAGATACGCCGCCAGATACTCCAATTTATATTTAGGCGCACAATTCACATTAGCCTTTTAGACGATACATTTTTAATAGTGTAATTTCCAAACCATCCAAAATCTTCCTTCTCAAGATGTTAGGTATAATAATGTTGAAAAGAGATGATGCACTCTCGTCGTGCACGGGAAGATGATTGCGTTTTTGCGTAAATGGAAATTAGAAAATGTCATGACAAGGATTCCTTGAGGTGGCGCTTTGTTAGCACTTAATGATATGTGATAAAAGCATATTCCATCATTCACTTCTTCGACAGTTTCTTGTATGGGGCGCAAAGTTTAATAGAATTTCGCTTTGTCTGAGAGCAGATACGAACTAAAATAAATTTGACCTTAAGCGCGTTCATTGTTTTTCATCACAACTAACTGACGCAACCAAACAGCCCGCTTTTAAAGGAC